GGGGGAAGATTGGGATCGAGGGGGAATCGTAGTCGGGGGGGGGATCGCGACGGCGGGAGAGGAGAAGATAAAAGAAAAGAAGAAGGGGAGGAAGAAGAAGAGACTGATGATGAAAAGAAGAAGAAGAAGAAGAAGAAAATTTAAAGAAGAAGAAAATAAACGAAGAAGAAAAATAAGAAGGAGAAAAAAAATAAAATAAAAAATAAAATTGTCGTTGATTACTTATCTGCGCGAAGGAAACGACGGCGATGACAAGGACGGCGCGGCGCACCGACGAGGACGACGGGCATGGTGATCATGACGTGGTACGACAGCGGCGATCCCGTCGGTGACGATGATGACGGGGCACAATGACGACGATCGCGATGATGACGTGGCACGGCAACGACGATCTCGACGATGATGTTGATGATGGCCAGGTGACGACGTGGAAGCAGGGTGGGTCGGGCGGGTTCGAACCGCTCCGATACCAGCGTAACGAGCGGGAGGCTGAGGGAGACAGGGAGAGCCGAGGGAGAGGAGAGAGAGAGGGAGAGAGTGAGAGCACACACACACACTCACTCACTCGACACGACGGACTCGGACTGAGGGTCGGACGCAGACACAGTGGCAAGGCACAAAGTCGAAGTCTTGGATCCTGAATGCCGAAACGGCAAGTCACACTGAGTGCGAGTACAACAGCATAGAACTGGTACGAGACTGGTCCCCGTACCGTACGGGGAGCCGGTATAAGTACCGGTGACACGTACGGTACCAGGGGCATTTCTGCAAAGGCCCTGAGGGCAGAACTAAAAAATGCAGTATTTGAAAGTGGCGCCCGAATCGCAGCATGGCGCCAGTTGTCCAAAATCCTACGGTACCAAAGGAGGGGTTTGGAAAAAGGGTGCCAGGCCGAAAACGGGATGCAGCCGAAACAGCAAAAGATAGACCAGGGATCGAGCCTTGGCAAAGTCCGTAACAAAACCTGGTATCTCTGTCACTAACTGTTGACCTCGGGAGACCATGTTCACTGACCCAATGATCGAAGAACTTGTCTATAACTAGATAAGTTCGTGCCTGTGCGCGTAAAGGAACAAAAACAACGTATTTGCAAACCTATCAACTATAACCATGACTTGGCTCTTGCCATGCCTACTCTTGACTCCAGCATCCATTAAGTCAATGGAGACAGAATCTCCGGGTTCTATGGGAATAGGTAAGGGTCTGAGAAGACTGAGAGGGGCCCGCGTAGTGGTCTTATTGCGTTGGCAGACTTTGCAACTGTGTACATACTCTATGCAGTTGGCTTTCATACCTAGCCATGTATACGCGCGTATGAGGTTGGCTAATGTCTTTTGCCACCCAAAATGTCCCTCTGTGTCGTGACATTCCCCTAAGATCAAACTACGGATCTCTTCACTATCAGGAACGCACAAACGGGCAGCTACGTTGGTCTTCTCAAATAGCAAGCCGTCTGTAGTGCGGTAATCTGGCTCGACTCTGGGGCCTCCCTAACTCTCTTGAGGAGGTCACTATACATAGGGTCCTGTGCATACGCTTCCTTAATTTTTTGTTGCAGGTCTCTCCCTATATCTAGACAATGAACTATCGCTCCAAAGTAATCAGCTCTCCTACTTAGAGCGTTTGCGACTACATTATATTTCTGTTTTACTGGCTTAAGCTCGAAGTCGTATTGATCTATCTCTGCGGCCCACCTAGTAAGCTTAGGTATCATCTTGGCCTGTGTCTTCAGCCACCAGTGTCTCGTGGTCTGAATAGAGTTTGAAATGCCTCCGAAGCAAGTAGTGCTTCCAGTGCTCTAGTGCTTGCCTGAGAGCGTAGAGTTCCTTCTCATAGGTAGATGTCGCTACCTTCTCTGAAGGCATCCTAGCAAACATGAACTCTACGGGCCTATACCCATTGCCATCATCTTGCTGTAAAACAGCATCTATGTCGTACTGACTTGTGTCAGTGGTGAGAACAAAAGGTAAGGATGGATCATCTACCTTGAGGACTGGATACTCTATCAAGGCCCGCTTCAACTTCTTCAGGGCCGATGTACAGTCTTTGTCCCATTTCCAGATTGCCTCTTTCTTTAGCAACCTGCGAAGGGGAGCGGCGATAGTGGAGAAGTTCCTCACAAATTTCCTATAATAGTTGGCTAAGCCTAGGAACGACCACACCTCTGTCAATGTGCGGGGCCTGATTGTCCCTATTTTGCCATCTTCATCTAAAACGTGGCCCAAGTACAAGACTTGTGTCTTGGCCCACTCACACTTCTTTGCGTTGATCTTGAAGTTAGCTTCTCTTAGCTTCTCCAAGCCTGCCTCAGATGACCCTCGTGCTCCTGGAGAGTCTTACTAAAGACTAAAATATGATCTAAATACACTACAACGAAACTATCTAACCAAGGCTTAAACAAGTCATTCATACAGCGTTGGAATGTCGTTGGCGCATTGTTTAGTCCAAAGGGCATGGCTATGAACTCGTAGTGCCCGTATCTCGTTCGGAACGCCGTCTTATACTGGTCATCAGGGTGAACTTTTATCTGATGATATCCAAACTTTAAATCTATTTTAGAAAATTACTTACAACCCTGCACCCGATCTAAGAGATCATCTATACGGAGCAACGGTTCTGCATTCTTCATTGTAACGACATTGAGACCCTTGTAGTCTATGCACATTCTAAGCTCTCCCTCCTTCTTGGGGACGAAAAGAACAAGTGTTCCAAATGGAGATGAACTGGGCCTAATCCAACCCTTAGGAGCTCGCCTAACTGCTTGCGCAGCTCCTCTGACTCCCTTGGGGACATTCTGTAGATGGCTCCCTTAGGAGTCCTACTCCTAGGCTATATCTCAATACGATGCTGGATCGGTCGTGGCACTACTCTTGTAGGCGGTTTAGCTAAGTCTGTATACTCCAACAGTTTGGCAATAGCAGGATCTATGGGTTTCTCTTCTTTAGGCTCAGTGACAGGCTTAACATAGGCTACAAAAATCTGCTCTTCTAA